AATGGAAAGCCTATAAATTCATGTTTCACTACAAGTGTCCTCCTTGTCCATTTTCGGTGACAACACAGGTAGCTTGAAGTGGGCTCCAGCTGGAGTATTTACACCATGGGCATTGGAAAACTCAGCAACAAGTTAGGAATTTGCTTTCTTTCCTCTTTCTTTCTCTTCTCCTGTCTCCCTATCCCGTTCTCTTGAAGAGTTTTATGTTCAGTATTTACCAGAACACCAACAAGAACAAGGAAAGAATAACAATGATGAAGCAAAAAGGTAACTGCAAGGGTTGGGGCTATAGCTCAGAGGCAGAGCACTTGCCTAGTATGTGTGAGGCATTGGGTTCCATCCTTAGCACCACATAAAAATAAACAAATAAAATAAAGGCATTTTGTCCATCTACAACTACAAAAAAAAAATAAAATAAAAATAAAAGTAACCACAAACTAGAATTGCAAAGGTTAGAAACAAGAAGGGAATGCATTCCAAAAAAAGATTGAGGAGTATGGCTTAACACTGTCTCCCCTGTATGGTAATAAGTGATTTTGCTCAGATAGCCAGGACAGTTACATAGGACCATAGGGCATTTACCTTCAGACTCAAGTATTCATTTCAGAAAACCCACATCTGCTGTGCATAGAGTCAGAAACAAATTCAATAAGTCGATCAGTTAAACAAGGATGAGTTATAATAAAATGTGAAGAAAGCTGGAGGATCACTTTACTCTGTGTCTAATGAGAACATGGGCTGAGGGTGCTGATGGTCCCATCTTCACTCCACCATTGCTGCCTTGGATCTTGCTCTCTTGAACTTCTTAATATTCTTTGCTTTTTGCTTTGTGTCTGAACGTTTTCTTGCTGGGGCTTTGTTCTTGCTAGTGTGTGTGTGTGTGTGTGTGTGTGTGTGTGTGTGTGTGTGTGTTTAGGTTCTGCAGATAAAATCCAGATAAAATCCATGCCTTGCACATGCTACAAAAGTGTTCTGCCCTCATCCTCTTCTAAAAACTTATTTATCTATTTTTAAATTTTGAGACGGGTCTCCACTAAGTTGCCAAAACTAACCTTGAACTTGCCATCGTCCTGCCTGAGCTTCTAGAGGGGGTAGGATAACAGATATGTATAACCCACGACCTGTGCTGGTGTTTCTTAGAAATTTGCTTTTCTATTCTATTTTTTCTATGCTTTGTATTTTACTCTTCTGCAAGTTTTCTTCTGCTTTCTTTTTTTTTTAAGATAGTTTTTTCCATGACCTTCCCCTGAACAAAAGTTCTGTAATCATCTCTATTTTATCACTTTCTACTATCTGTTGTCCTTAAGAACCTTGAAACCCTCACTTCTCAAAGTATTGCTCTTCATCATATTAATATTTCGAGGTCTTAGTTTTCTCTTTCATAAAATGGAAAGATTTTTACCTCTCTTACAGAGATTTTTGTAAGATTTAAATGACTGTGACATATATTAAGTAATTAGTAAAATTCCTGGCACTGAAAATGATTAACAAAGGATACCTACTGTTTTCATATGCTAATCAAAACTGGGCCTGCCACCTGACAGCTTCCACCTTGAATTCCAGATCTTTAGTTACAAACTCAAATGCATGGAGGACCCGGCAGACTGTAAATGAAGGAGGTGGCAGACTGTAAATGAAGGAGGTGGGCTGAGCTTGGAGATGATGGTCAATTGAAAGGTTTATAACCTGTCTAAAGAGGCTGCTACTACTTACTCTAGCCAACTGCTATCATGTACAAATATTAGCTAGTCCTTTAAATGTTTTGTGAAATAGTGAAAATTGGGATTTTTATAAATAATTTCTTGAAGTGAAAAAAATATGTTGCTTAATATTGAAAACTATTACTTAAAAGAAAAAAGGTTTATTGATTGTATTTGGTTTGCCATCCACCAACTTGAAACCTCTGCAGGAAATACTTATTGAGCTGTTTTTAAAAAAATTTTTTAGATGTTGATGGACTTTTGTTTTATTCATTTATTTATGAGTTGCTGAGAATTGAACCCAGGGCCTTACACATGCTCTATAAGTGCTCTACCACTGAGCCACAACTCCAGCCCCTTATTGAGCTGTTTTTGAGCAGTGAGTTTCTTATTTACCAACAGAAAATCTTATCTTTTACACATGATGTATCTGATTTTCTAGCAAGGTGTCTGGAAAAAAATTTTTTCCCCCTAATATAATTTTCCCCCTATAAATAGTTAAAATCAACCACCACAAAGGGTCAAGTCCAAATGGAATACAAACAGTAGCTGTGCTACAAATGTATAACAAGCACAATGAAAGGACGGGGAAGACAAAGCAAATCTAAAGAACTTCGAGAAACAGTATTTTGCCTCTATACTGTGAGATTAAACAAAAAAAGAACTGTGCATTAATACTGTACTACAGTTACTAAATTTGTTTCTTTCAGAGTATGGGTCAGCAATTCTGACACTATGTGTACTGAACAAGCAAGTACATATATAATAGATAATGACAGCCAGGTTTCTTGTTGTCAGAGAAAGAAGCTTTAAATAAGGAAAGGGAGAAGACTAGAACAAAGTCAGGGGTGCTGAATTGAGAATTAGGGACACAAGAATCAATACATATTGTGGTAAGCAGAATAATGCTCACCTCCGTCCCCCCACACCTCCACAAATACACCTGTCCCTGTCTCCAGAGCCTGTGAGTATGCTAGGCTACACGCCAAGGGGGAATTCAAGATGCTGAGGGAATTACGGTTGCTAATCACCTGACCTTCAAACCTGGAGAGTTTCCTGGATTATCTACAGCCCAATGTCATTTTAAGACTCACTGTGAGTGAAAGAGGGACTTGAGGGTAGAAAGGGATTATGAGCCAAATTTTCAGGGCTTAAAAATAGAATCAAAGGCTAGAGCTGAAACAATTTGAGAAAAAAAGTACATAATGATATTGGTGGGTTATAACTCATAAAATATCCATGAGGGGTTGGGGAATGTATCTAAGTGGTAGAATGCTTGCCTATAATATGTGAAGCCCTGGGTTTAATCCCCAGCCCTCCCCCTACCACCTGAAAGTATCATGAGTCCACACTGACTTAACTATTTGAATAAATAAATTAATGAAGAAGGAAAACACACTTAGTATAAGTCCTATTAATAAATGTTAAACTAGAGAAACGGAATACTGAATAAATTACTGAATAAACTCTGCAGTAATAATTGTTGCTGGCAAGATCCATCAATGGATGCTAAAATTTGTGGGCAAATATATGATGAGAAACAATATATTTGCATAATTTAAAATTATCTCCATTGACACATTTATTAATTATAAAGGGAAAATAGTAACTATGCAGAGAAGAAACCTGCACACAACCACACATATGGGTTGACATCACCCAAAATAAGACATATTGGCAACATGTTCCCTTGTTCTCATCACAATGATGTGCTGAGGTGGGTCCAACCTTGCTTCTATGCTATTCTTGTCAAGAATGTATAATCTCAATTGGATCAGAAAACATTAGCTAAGTCCAGCTGGAGGTTCATTTTGGAAAATAGCTATTTGTTTTTTAAAAGTGTAAAGGTCATGAGCAACAAAAAAGAACTGTGGGAACATCATATTGGAGGAGTCTAAGAAAGCAGAGCCACTAATGCAGTGTGGAATTCTGGATTACCCCAGAACAGAAAAGGACATTAGAGAAAAACTGAAATTTAGAATGAGGTCAGAAGTTAATAGTATTGTATCAACATTCATTTCTTGGTTATATGTTAACATCAGGGGAAGCTGAATGAAAGGTATATGAGAACTTTGCACTGTTTTTGCAACATTTATGCAATTCTAAAATCATTTCAAGACAAAATCTTACACAAAGAAGTATAGGTTGAACAACTCTAATTCAAAAATCGGCAGTGCTTCAACATCTGAAAATATTTTGAGCATGACTGTGATGCCACAAATGGAAAATTCCACACCTGACCTGTTGATAAGCCATGGTCAAAACTCAAAATACTGTATATAAAAGGATCCTTAGGCAATGTATATAAGGTGTATATGAAGCAAATTAATTTCATGTTTAGACTTGGGGGGGTCATTACTTAGACATCTCATTATATATGTGCAACTATTCCAAAATCTGAAAAAAATATGAAAATCTGAAATGCTTCTGTTTCCAAGCATTTTGGAAAAGGGACACTCAATCTATGCCATGGCAGCAACAAAGAATAAATAGAGATTTCTATGGTGGGGGAAGCATTCAGAAAGACTTCTTGGCAGAGGTGCCGTATTAGTCTGCTTAGGCTCCCGCGACAAAAATTCCTCAGACTAGGTGATTTAAACAACAGAAAATTTTCTCAGTTCTGAGGTGGAAGTCCAGTGATCCAAGTGCCAGCAGGTTTGGTTTCTTCTGAGTCTTCTCTCTCTCTCCTTGGCTTGTAGATGGTTGTCTTCTTGCTGAGTCCTCACATGGCCCCTCCTCTTACTACACAGGCTTCTGGTGTATACTCTTGATACATCGACATTAGTTGTATTGGATTAAGGTCCATTCCTGTGACAGTATTTAACCTTCATTTCCTTTTAAAAGGCCCTATCTTCAAATAGGGTCATGTTGGATTAGGGCTTTAACCAAGGAATTTGGGGAGCAGGGACAAAAATTCAGTCCATGACAGATGGCCAACTGTGAAGGGTCTTAAAGGACATGTATCAGACATCCAGAGGGGGCAATGTGTGGCAGTGATTTAATGGCTTACAAGTGGACTGGTTTCCTAGAATGTTGTGAAGGAGTCATAATGAACAGGACTAGTAAGGGAAAGTGGAGCCATGTTTCTGACATTTCTAATGCATCAGGCTGGCAAAGAGAAGTCATTGAGATCAATTAGGAGGCTACTGTAGAAAAATATCAGAGACTTGAATCAAGGCGATGAACCGCAGCAAGAATGATAATGATAACCAGAAGGATAGATTTGACAAAGATGGAACACTTAAGCCTTATTAAGTAAAGAATTCTAGATGGTTCCCAAGTAGGATGTTCCGAGACACACTGATGGGTTGTATCAGTGAGAGCTTTTAGAAATGTAAATTTAAAGATTGGGACTTTAGGAACGTGAATTGAAAGATGGGAGAAAGGTGAAGTCTAGTCTCTTAGTTTCGGGAGTCTTTAACCTAGAAAGAAAGTCTGGGTAGACAAGAGTAGCCAAGGATACTTCAGGGTATATGAAAAGGAAAAAGAGTGAAGGTCATAGAAGGTAGAAACCTGGTGACGTTGTGCCCTGCCTGGCCAGAGGTGTGAGGTGTTTTAGAAAAGAGTCTCCTTTATGTTTTGGAGACATTAAAGTGGATGAGGTTTGAGGAAAGACTATTGAATTTGGCAAATTGACAGTCACCAATCATTAGTGAAACTTGAACTCAGTTTTTTTTTTTTTTAAAGGAGGAAGCAAATGGGAATGCTCTAAATCCATCTGTCAGTCCCAGCACACTGGGGTGATGAATTTGTAGGCAGAGACCTGGTCCCTTTTAAATGCTAGCACTGTTCATAACATGGCTCTTCATTTGACAACATTTAGCTATTTCATTTAAAACACCAGCGCTGGCATTTTACAGTGGCCCATAGCCTCTCCTGAAGCCATTTGATTCCTGTAGCTCATAGTATAATTGCTGAGAGAAGTAGCAATTCGAGTCACTCAGTTGTGCAAGAGTCATATATTTTATGACTTTCTCATCTCATAAAACAAGACTAAATTTTTCCTTACAGTTGGAAAAAGCTTTAGATCAGGATAAACCTGACCTAAGGCTCCAAGTTTATGGGCCCAATTTATTTCCTCTGTAAATTCTGGGGACAGCTCTATGTGAATTCCACAGGGTGTGAAATCTTCTTTTAGTCAGGTGTTCATGTCTTTTCATGTAATTAGGCAATTATTTTCAAATGGATTAAAAATTTTAGTAGGCTTTGAACGATGTTAGTGAAAATAGAATTCTGATGTATTTATGTGGAGTATTAATCCTGGTTGTTCAAAGAGTGTTTATTAGTTGAAGATATGGCAAATATTAGCATTTCTACTTTGTAGACAAATTATGTGATGTACTTGAAGAGATACTGAAAGTCAAAAGTAGGACTTTCTGGGATAGAGCTTTTATTAATCTGGTTTTTCTGTTCTCTAATAACACCTTTTTCTTTTTTTTTCATTTCTATCATACAAATAAGTCCATGTATATTTTGGAGAAATAATATTGAAAAGGTGGTGGTTAAGTAGTCAAATACTTAATTATTTTTGAAAGTGACGTTTGAGAGTTGTGATTGTGGCTATATAGCTTGCTTTGTTATCAGACAGTTACTGACTCTCTTAATAGATGCTGTATACTGCAGCCACGTTCTATTCACCTTCTTAAACCTCTACCAGCATAAACATATAATCTAAGGAAAAAACCAGTATTTTTTGTAATATAGACATGGCTTGAAGACAAGCCCCATTATCTCCTTTCAGTGAGCCTCATATATATTCTGCAGACTTTACTAAGGGGGTAGATTGTTCATGTAATGATCAATTCACCAGGTGAAAACATAAAGGGCAACTCAACCTTCCAGATGCCTACTCTGATTTATTCAGTGTCAAGGTTTAGAACAACCGGAGTTTCCCAGGGCTTGTAAAGTGTCAAGTTCTCTTAATGCAGAAGCTATGTACCCCTCTTCTTGTTGGTTCAGTGGATTTAAATAGACAGGTAGCACCAATTGATTGTGTGAAATGATGCTACTGACCTGTTATCAGTAGAGAACAGTGTAAACACATTTGCCAGGTATTTAACTGGGATGAAAGTCTATGGATATGAGCCAGAGTGATCGCTTCCATCTGAGGAACCATCTCATGAATGAATGTGGGCTCATTTGAAGGAACTCAGATCTCACAAGGTAACACCTACAAATTAGACTAGTGGAGGAAGAGGGAAGGTTTTCAGTAAGATGGGCTGAATTACTTCATGGAGAGCCAGAAGGTAGAGGTAGTTTTACAGAAATGACAGGTAACATATAAAAAGGGAAAACTGAAGGGACTTTATGATGAACAAGATATGATACACATATATGTGGAAAAGAAAGGACACAATTGTGAAATATTAAAAAGTGCTCAGATTGGGGTTTTATAAGAATTTGTATCTTTTGGGTACAGGAGTTTGTATCTTTGTGTGCTACTTTCAGTTTCTAGAACTAAGAATGTTACTTGAAACTAGGGACTGTCTTGTGAAGGAAGCTATAAAGGGTTCCCAATGACAGTGGCCTAGGTCTAAACTGGGTACTGGAAGAGACAGGAGGACCTGGCTTAGCCTAAAGGAAAGATCTGAGAAGATCTGTGCATTTATTATCACCATAGGTCAGGAGCCCTAAACTAATAAGTTTCAGAACTGTTTTCCCCAGAGGGTTGTACAGGTGAAATTATAAAACTGTTAGTTTGAAAAGAATAGGCAGATTAGAGATAAGGAAAATACTTTCCAATGAAAATGAGTCTGCAAGCCAAAATTTAAAAATGTATAAATTTTATATAATATATAATAAATACATAATGATTATATAATATGTACAATAAATATGTAATAAATGCATAATAAATATATATACACACAACACATATACATAATATAAATATAATAAATACATATATACATGTTATATAATATATGATAAAATATATCAAGACTCTAAACTAAATACAATTTGAAGAGAGAATTAATAAATTGGAAAATAGTATTGAAAAATTTACTCAGAACACTGTATAAAATAGACAAACAGTGAAGGAAAAAAGGTATTAGAATGACACATTCTGATTTATGTTTAACAATTGCCCAGAGAAATTTAAAGTTGCATGTGAAGAGGTAGTTGATAAAAATTTTATATAATTGGAGAAAACTCTTTGGGCCATTCTAATACTGTTCTAACAATGGAGTTGAGGATCATTAATTTAGCCAAACAGGAATAAAGCTGAGCTGTAGATTAAAAATATACTTGTGCAATGACCAGGATAAATGAAAATAACAAAAATATAAGAATTATAAAAAGAAATAGAGAAAAGATTATTGCCAGAGGAATAGTAATTAAACTGATATTAGACTTCTGTTTAGTAATAGATGACAGAAGCTGAGAGCAATATTTTCATAGTTCTAGGGTAAAGGCATCATTCAAAATCGAAGGCAAAATAAGTCACTTAAAAAAAGACTTATTACTTTACTGCCCACAAATTTTCTGAGAGAACTACTAAAGGATGCACTTCAATAAGAATACAAATAAATCTGGAGAGATGGAAAGAGTGAGAGAAGAAATACAATGTGAACTGGACGTTTTGGTATTAAGAAAATATCTAATAAAATTAGAATTTTATTACAAAAGCAAGTTTCCTTTGGGACTGGGTATTATTTAGCTGCATTCGATTATGTATTACCTATCAAAGAAAGCTTTCTATTATTTGCTAATTCAGAATGCCTTTCAGAAAACTCCCAAAGGCTATAGTAATACTTCATCTAACTCTAGTAACTTTCTATTCTTGCAGTTAATTGGGGCGATCCATTTAAGAGCGGCTTATTTATCAGCTCTTGCTGCTATTATCTGCCAAAATTGTATATGGTGTGTTTCTAATTAGCATGGAAACAAACTCTGAACAAATTAGGTATAATTCAATGCTGTTGACTACTAGTTTATAGTTCTCAATATTGAAAAACTTAATATTTCAATTAAAATTTTAATGTCATAATTATATTTAATTATGTTGGAAATATAATTGAAATTGATTTGAGGGTAGGTATGCGGCGCACGCCAACACACACACACACACACACACACACACACACATACACACACACCTTACCTGCATAATGGTACCTGGGGCAGAGGGTTATTTCGGGAAAGATCTGATGGGTGTTCTAAGTCAGGAGAAGTCTGTCAAGGTAGAGAAGAGGCCATTGATTGAGAGTTGAGTTAGATGATGTGGGGTATAGATCACAAAACTAGTTTTAAGAAGATGGGGGAAGGCATTGGCTCCAGGCAGCATGATATATAGATGTCAAACAGACTGAAGACAAAAAAGAGTTAGGATTAAACTGACATAAACATCCATTCAGCTCTTCTGAGCATCTGCCACTTGTGTGAGGTTCTGGGGAGGAATTCAGAAACAGGGAAGATAAAACCCATGGTCTTCAGAGACAATCAGTTCAACTGGGAGACAGTCATGAAACAATTTTACAAGACATGCTAACATCACAATTGAGAAAGATGCTAAGAGAATAAGAGAAAGGAAAATTAAATCCCAATTAGGGATAATTAGGAAAGTGGTTTAGAGGACTAGTTTAAATTGGACCTTGAAGGATGGGTAAGGATATTGTATCAGGAAAGGGTGACAGGCATTCTAAGCAAGGATATAGACATAAGTGACACAAGAAAAACAAAGCTGAAAACGCAGTTAAAAGTTTCTCAGATACACCTTCCTGTTTACCTCTTTCCAGCTCAAGAGCTCATCTCTATGGAGGACTTTACCAAATCCCCAAGAAGCAGCAAATAGGTACATCTTAACTGAGGAGGAAGTGGAGTGACAAGAAGCAACACCATCTTGAAAGACCATGAGTATATACATAATATTCCTTGGACGTTCACAAGTGGCATCATGTTTACATATAATTTTGTAACTTGTTTTTCGAACTCTATTTTCTTTCTGTGAAATAGATAGTTCCATGTAGTTCTGGTGCATTCTTTTTACTTTTCTGCTTATCTGTGTTTTGGACTTTTAGATGCTACTGAATTTTTTAACATTTAACATTTTTCAAAAAATACCCTCCTACCCATTTTCTTGTGCACATGTGCAAAAGTTTCTCTAGAGAATATAGCTAGGAGGGGAATGAACGGATCATGATGCACATGTAATTCCAACTCACTGGATATGGTCTTTTATTCATCTTTATCTCTTTACTTCTTCCCTCTTATGTTATCTCTTCTGACACTCATGTGATAGCTACCTTATAGTGTTCACTCCCTTTCAAAGTGGAAGGAAGAGTACTGGGAGCTGAAGGTAATGAAAACTACAAAGAGAAGACAAAGAGCTCGTGAGGAAAGGGTTAGGTGGGTTTCAATTAATAGAGTCATTTGTCAACATGGGACACTGGCTCTCAGTCTGTTGGGAGAAGGTACTGGGGTGTTTGGAGTGGAGAGTTTGTCTGTCTGGGGGGCTCTGATCTCTGTCAGCAGAGATCCTGGGAGGCTGGTAAACATACTCAGATTGGAATAGTTGTCAGTAGACTATGTGTGTTCACTCCCAGGAGCCTGAGCCAAGCGTGATCTTTCCTTTCTAACATCTGAGTTTTGATCTTTGGCTTAAAAAAATGAGATAATGAAAAAACCATAAGGCAGACATCAAAAGCAGGGGCTGGCCCGAGTTTTAATTTTGGCCAAGATTCTACAGTACTCATCTTCTTGGCCATCTAATCCTCCTTCAGTTCCTGGTCACAACTGTTCTTTTGACAGCGTGGATGACTTAAAGCTCTTGAAAAAACCCAGCGATACCTGTGGAAACAGTTGGCCACTGCCTACCAACCTGGAGACGAAGGGACTCCACACCGATGTCAAGTGGGAGACTTCGTCTACGTGAGGCGACATCAGGTGTCATCCCTGGAACCCTGCTGGAAAGGACCATACCAGGTGCTGCTTATAACACCTACAGCAGTGAAAGTGGACGGGATCGCTTCCTGGATCCATGCCTCCCATCTCAAGCCTGCGCCCTGTCCATATTCCGGCTGGAGACTGGAAAAGACTGGTAACCCTTTCAAATTGCGTATTTGCCGTATGGATAGGGCTATGGACTCTTCCCTTGGCCACCAGCAGTCCTAATCCCCATCAGCCTGTTCAGCAACGGTGGCAGATCATAAATCCTACTGGACAAGAAGTATGGTCCATTTCGCATACAGCCCCCTTATGGACCTGGTGGCCATCTCTTCACCCGGATATTTGTCAGCTTGCTATAGGTCTCCCCAGTTGGGATATCCCTGACGTAGAAGATCCCACCAAAATCCCATCAGGCACAAGAGACTCAGGAAACTTTGGATGCAGTTCCCCACAAGCCAGATGCAGGTTAGCCAGCCTTGATTACTACGTTTGTCCTGCAGGCTATCGGAACCACAAACAGTCCCAGTTATGCGGGGGGCAAAGCGACTTTTACTGCAAGTCATGGGGATGTGAACAAACAGGGGCAGCCTGGTGGGAACCAGACTCCCCTGACAGTTCTATCCAGGTGGGAAGAAATAGCACCCGGATAAACCCTGAGAGCTGTCCCTCTCCTGGACCAGACCCAGAAGATGGGGTTTTGGCTCTAAATAACCGATGTCACTCCAATACCCTATGTAACCCTCTAAATATAACTTTCACCCCTAAAGGAAAAGGTTATACCCAGTCATGGATCTCAGGGAACACCTATGGGATGCGATTTTATACTTCGGGGTATGATTTTGGTCTTTGGTTCACCATCAGGCTTAAAAGACAATTAAACCCCACAGCCATAGGACCCAATCCCCTTAAGCCAGGAATCAGGCCTCCCAAATCTCCCATGCCTCAATTTACCACCCCATCGAAATCCAAGGTCCCTCCACTATCCAATACCCAAACTCCACTCCCGTCTACTTCCCCAATCCAGGGCGAAGCCAATCCCTCTCCCTGGGGGCTAATTGAAGGGGCCTTTGCGGTACTGAACTCCACACAACCAGACCTCACTCAATCTTGCTGGCTCTGTCTCTCCGCTGCTCCCCCTTACTATGAAGGGATAGCAATCGATGGGACTTAAGCAGTAAAAGCGCAGAGTTCCTCCTGTAGTTGGGGTGAAAATCCTAAGTTAACCCTCCCAGAAGTAACCGGGGCAGGCTTATGTCTAGGGTCCCCACCTTAAAAGCAAACAACCCTTATGTACCCAGATAAAAGAAATCAGCACCACACAGGGCTTTCTTATCCCTGAAAATGGAACCTGGTGGGCATGTGACTCAGGGTTAACTCCTTGCATTTCAGCTCAGGTATTTAACAGCTCTGTAAATTATTGTGTAATGGTGCAGATGTTTCCCAGAGTGCTCTATCACAACGCAGGTTGGTTTGAAGATCAAATAGAGGGGCATACAACCCTGTTCCGCCTGGAACCTGTATCCCCGACTTTAGCCATCCTATTGGGGATAGGAGCTGCTGCAGGAGTAGGTACAGGAACCAATGCCATGATCTGTGGGTCACAACAAATGCCCCAACTGGAGACAGCAATAGACCAAGACTTAAAGACATTAGAGACCTCCATCACCGCTTTGCAAGAACCCTTAACCTCTCTCTCCGAAGTTGTTTTACAGAACAGGCGAGAGTTGGACCTCCTCTTCATGAGAGAGGGAGGCCTCTGTGCTGCAGAGGGAAGAATGTTGTTTTTATGCTGACCATACTGGAGTTGTAAAAGAATCCATGAGTAAATTAAGAAAACGCCTTGAAGAGCGCCAGAGAGAGAGAGAAACCCAACAAGGGTGGTTTGAGTCTTGGTTCACCCAGTCCCCCTGGTTAACTACGCTCTTATCAGCCCTAGCTGGTCCTTTAATCATCCTCATGCTATTGCTAACTGTAGGACCCTGTTTGCTTAACCGTTTCTCCAGGCTCAGATTGGACAGGTAAAACTTATGGTAATCAGACAACAATATTCGACACTGACAGAAATGGAATGTGAAACTCTTCAATGATTATGAATTATTAATTTTAAGATTAAAAGTAGTCAGAAAAAGGAGTGGGAAATGAAAGGTTAAAGAAACGAAATGTAAAGGATAAGATTTGTTTCAAGTTCTGTAAAGTTTTCAAGTTCTGTTAAGTTGCATGTGGAACCTGAAATTCATGTGGAAGTTAAAAACAACTCCCGGAAAAGCCACTGAAATGTATGTTGAAATCTCCCCTGACCATCTGGTTGCTCTGTAAAAACAACCCCTCTCCCAGAAACCGTGCAGTCCAGCACGTACACGCCTCAGGGCTTGAAACCGTGCAGTTCAGCACGTACACACCTCAGGGCTTGAGCCAATCAGTTCGAATGTATACCCTTCTTTGTACTAACCAATCACCCCTACCTGACTTGTTCCCACCAGTAAATGTACTAATCATGGTTAAGAGTTGTTGTTTGATTTTCCTGTGGCATGTGATGACTTGTTATGCTGTATGTGAAGTCCCTGCCCTTTCCAGAGAATGTATATAAGCTCTGCTCAAGCTGTTCTCGGGGCTCTCTGCTCCTCTGAAGTGAGCTCTGAGCCCCAGCAGGCTGGACCCCCAATAAACCCTTTGCTGTTGCATGAAAAAAAAAAAACCAAAAGGCAATAAATAATAATAATAACAATGATAATAATATTCACCTCTGGATATTGTGAGGGTAAAATAAGAAAGACTGGATTTTTAAATTATTTCATTTGTGTACTTAAAATTATTAAAATATTTTTCATTCCTTCTCTAGCTTCTCAACTTCTATTTCATAAAACTGTTTCTCAGATGTCAGGTCACTTAGTCTCCTTAACGTTGGTTTGCATTCATCTAAGTACATTTTTCAGTGTGGGACACATACTGACACATATACTCTAGGATTTTGCCAACTATGTAGAGCAGCCCAAAACATTCATTTCCTGGTTTGAGATATTCCATAGTAATTTTGCCCTTAATAGCAGAGCTGTTTTGGTAGCCACTCCCAGTGTTAACTCACATTGGATTTTTTTTTTTTTGGTACTGGGGATTGAACTCAGGGTTACTCCACCACTGAACCACATCCCCAGCTCTATTGTGTATTTTATTTAGAGACGGGTTCTCATTGAGTTGCTTAAGGCCTTGCTAAATTGCTGAGGCTGGCTTTGAACTCTGGATCCTCCTGCCTCAGCCTCCTTAGCTGCTGGGATTATAGGTGTGCATCCCCAAAAACCAACTAAAACCCTCAAATGTCTTTGATACATTCTGTTGTTAAGATAAGTCTGTGTTATCCCAGGGCCTTGTGCATGCTATATAAGTTTTCTACTACCAGACCTCTGAAATTTTATTTTGCAACAGAGTCTGGCTTAGCTGCCTAGGCTGGCTTAAAACTTGTGATCCTCATGAGTCAATTTTCTGAATAGATGTTTTTATAGGTGTGTGCTGCTGTGCTTATCTAGTATTTCCTTTAAAAAATTCAATTGTAATACATTTCACTTATTTCTATTTAATTTCATCTTAAAGTCAGCTTGGCCAATTTTGATTCTGACTCTTGTTATTCAACATATACATTATTCCCTTATTCTAAAACATACCCCTTTGGCTCATATATGAGTCAGTTTTGTAGTACTACAATAAAATTCTTGATACAGCTGACTTATAGAGATAAAAGGTTTATTTAGCTCACAATTTTGGAGGTTCAAAGTCCAAAATTGGGCAACTTTATTGGTTGGGCTTCAGGTGAGGGCTGCAGACGGTGGCACATCATGGCAGGAGGGGGGTAGGAGCAAATGGTTACATCTTGAACTGGAGCAGAGAGAAAGAGAGTAGGAGAGTCAGGCTTGCTTCTTTTATAACAATAAAAGGGGTCATATAAACATTTCCAAAAGGACACATGAGAACTCCTTCATGCTGCCCATCACCTGAAGGACCTCCCAC